CTGCTCTTACTTTTCAGCATCACCAACCCCCTTCGTTTTACATTATTGGTTTCCAGGGGAACATCAGCTCCCCAAAGGCCGGGCACTTCATTTCCTTTCCCAAAATGCATCAAGGGTCTGGAACTGGGCTTGGCACACAGCAGGTGCTCACAGACACCAGGTGCAGGAATCCATTCCAAGTGCAGAGGTCCTTGTGCAAACATCCCCAGCAGTCATGCCAGGTAAGAATGCTTCAATGGCTGTCTCTGAAACTGCATGGCCAAGACTCCACAGCACCAGGATGCAGGGTCTAGCCAGGCATGTCGGAGGAACATGACCTTCGGTGCTAAATATAGTGCCCTTGGTGTTCCAGGAGCCCCGGACACCTGTTTAACGTCACCTCTCAACACTCCTTCTGCAAGCTCAAGAGTTTACTCACAGGAAGCAGCACCAGGGTTCTGAATGAAATGGCAGCAAAGCCACAGAGATGTGCTTCACAGAGCTGTAGAGCTTGTAGGCAAGTGAGGGAGAGGGCCGGGACTCAGCTGGACATGCGGGAGCCCAGGGAGTCCTGCTTTTGAACAGGGAAATGCACATAGGAACATGGCATGCTCCCTCCACCCAGGGCAAGGAGTAAAATAATGGGGAGAAAATTATACTTCCCTTGAATCTGAAATCCTAATTCCCCTTTCCTTATAGCAAGGGAAAAAAGGTTAAAAACAATAGCTGGGCCCAGGGTGGTGGCTCAGTGGCTAAATCCTTGCCTTGCACACTCAGGATCCCATATGGGTGCCAGTATGTGTCCCAGCTGTTCCACTTCTCTTCCAGCTCCATGACTGTGGGCTGGGAAAGCAGTAGAGGATGGCCCAAAGCCTGGGACCCTGTACCTACATGGGAGACCCGGAAGAGGCTCCTGGCTCTTGGCTTCAGATCAGCTCAGCTCTGGCTATTGCAGCTACCTGAGGAGTAAACCAGAAGATTGAAACATCTTTTTCTGTCTCGCCTTTCCTCTGTAAATCTGCCTTTCCAATATAAATAAATAAATAAATAAATAAATAAATAAATAATAGACCTTAAAAAAAAACACAAGAATAAAGATACGGTATAGTATTAAGACAACACAGTTTAGTGCACTTAATCAGAATTAAACACACTACAACTATAACAAAAACTATAGGACCTGAAAACTAAAGGTCTGAAAAGATTTGTCAAGAAAGAACACACCAGGTCCTCCAAACCCTTCACTCCAGCACTGCTGAAGGATGCCAACCAGCTGTCACATGGTAAAAAATCATGGTACCTCAAGGTGGGACCATGGTAGACATTCTCATGGGTGCTAAGAAGAGCAATCCTGGAACAAATCAAAGGCACAGATAGCACATCTCCTGGACTTTCCATCAATCTTTTTTCCCCCTAAAAAGTTATTTACCTGAAAGGCAGAGCCAGAGAGAGAAGTGGGCTCTTTCCTAATAGCTTCTATGGCTACGACTCAAGTGATTCTGACAGAAGCCAAGAGCCTCTTCCCGGTCTCCCACGTGAGTACAGAGGCCCAAGCAGGTGGGCCACCTTCCTCAGAAACGGAGCAGCCAAACCTGGAGCTGATGCTCACATGGGTGAGATGGCTAAATTGCAGGCAGTGGTTCAACCTGCTATGCTATAATACTGGCCCCTATTTTTAAAAATTGTTAATCCTTTTAGTGTAGCCGCTCTAAGACCCATGAAACCAGAGAGGCAATCACTAAAAACTACCGTCCAATTAGCTGCAGCAACGCACAAATGAATCACAAGCTGTCACCACCGTAACAACATGAGGGTATTCAGAAGTTCACGGAAAATGGAATTAAAAGCCTACTTTTGGTAAAAATAAATAAATAAATAAAATTGCTTCAGTAATTTGTGGAAAACGCATATGATGGAGAAACAATGTGTGCATTTCAAAAGCTTCCTATATCATAATAAACTCATACTTTCAATTCCATTTTTTCATGTTCAGAGACTATACAGAACTTCATGCATTTTATTCATATCGTTTCATCAGAAGTATATTCCTCACACCACCTCCTCACTAGGATGCTTTTCATTTCTTCTTATCCACCCCTCCCCTTTTTGTTGACAGGGAAATTTCACATTTTCAGGTTTATACGTTCTAACGACTTGTACATCAGCTGAGGCCCACACCATCAGGCCTCTGGCCTTCCCTCTGCCAGCTTCTCCTGGCTCCTCCCCTCCAGCCCCTCCAGGCCCTTAGCTCCTCCTGCTCGCAGGGCTCCTCCTGCCCTTGACTGGAAGGGGCCTCTTGTCTGCAGGGACACGCAGCAGTTCAAGCGAGCCTGTTCGTCCTGGGAACTTCAACTGTTTGCTCATGGCCTCAGGCACTTGTCATAAACTTGACTGGCTCCAACCGTGTCCCAAGGAATCATGGGTAGCTGTGCCACACAGTTCCCCTAACCCATAGCTATTGGGGTGCTACATTTACATTTTCCAATACCCACACTTACCAAAAAGAACGCTAGACCTTTGAGCAGTGAGATATTAGTACTGAAAAGTTGAGCTTCGGGAAATTTATGGAACCCTTAACTCTCTTTTAAAATGCACACTCTTAAAATAATGTTGGGAATATTGCAGTGGCATAGCACACTAGTCCTCCACCTGCAGAGCTGGTGGCATCCCATAGAGGCAACGGTTCTAGACCCAGCTGTTCTTCCCATTCTGCTCCTGCTTATGACCTGGGAAAGCAGCTGTAGACAGCTCAAGTTCTTGGGTACCTGCACCCAAGTGGGAGACCTGGAAGAAGCTCTCGGCTCTGGCAATTTTGGCCATTTGGGGAAAGAAGCAATGGGTGAAAGATCTCCCACTGTCTCCGCTTCTCTCTGCAGATCTGCTTTTTAAACAAAAATAAATGTTTTTTTTTAAGTCTGCAAATTAAAAAAAAAAAACTCTTACAGTTAATTTGCCAAGATTTGCTTTTAAATCATCTGGAGATAAACTAAATCCTCAAGAAGGATAACTGTCTTTTAAATATCTGAATAAATCTGATTTCTATTCTAACTAGCTAGTCCAAGTAAGCAGGCAATGAGGTAAAATTATTACTCAACTTCCCCAGATTATAGTTTACCCTGAAATAACTGCTCATGAGAGTGAAAGCGGGATGCAATGACAGCCTTGCCCTAAGTCAGGAGAAGCTCATGGTTTTGAGAGACATTTATATAATATATATGTATTATTTTACGACAACGCAAGGGGAAGAATTTGACCCCCCCCCCCCATCTCGCCTGGAGCTTTAGGCGATTGCTGGGGTGGGGCTTCATTGTAAACTACCATCAGGGCAACTCCGATCTGCCCCCACAAGCCGGGTCAGCTGCCACCACTCCAGCACGTCATGAATCAGCACATCCGTGTCTCCATGCAGGGCACCTGCACACTGCTTCCTTCACACTTTTATCAGAGAAGCAAGAAGCAACTAAACGGGCGGGGCTCACCCCCTCAAAGTCTCTAAACCTGGGCAATCCCTCAAGACGATCTTGTGAAAAAGGCATTTGGACAGTCGTTGATTTCTGCTTCTTTCCCACAGCAGATGGCCCACCTCATTCCATTCTAAGCAGGCATCTATGAGGCACCCACTGTATGCACGCATGACACGAATCCAAGGAACCTGGTGTTCTGCCTCTTTTGATTCGTGCACAGATACACGGGCGGTTGCGATTTCCTCTCAACTTTGCAGAAACGTGAGCCGCATCCACAGCGTTGATTCATGCGGGCTGGTTACAGGTTCTGAGGATGGCACAGCCGCAATGAGGCACGCCGCGGCCCTTCACCTTCCAGCCCACACACAGCTCCCGCATGCTGCCCACACCTTCGCAGGTGGCTGGCTCGCCCGGGCCACAGCAGCCCAACCCATGTCCCCTCCCCAAATGTGTCAAGGTGTAACAGGGACTTGAGCGAAGCTGAGAACTTGCTGAGAGGTCTGGGGGTGGGTGGGTGCTGAAGGGGGGTTCAGGGTGTGCAGGGAAAGCCCGAGCCGGGCCTCGCGGTGCCTCCCCACCCCCACCCGGGTCCCCCACTCCGCGCCCGGGGAGGGGAGGTGGAGGGGCACGCCGCGCAGGCCTCCACCTAGCCCTGGGCGCAGCCGGCGCACCTCGGGCCTAGAACCATTTGCAAGGCAAATCGTATAGCCCGGACGCATTTAAATAGCCGGTCCTCAGCCGCGGAGGGGAAAAGGGCTCTCCCGCAGACGCAGCCGCAGGGGCCTCCGAGGCCACCCGGCCTGGCGGCGCTGGGCGCGGCCCGCGGGCGCACCCGGAACCTCAGCCCGCAGCGTCCCGGCCGCGTCCGCGCCAGGCCAAGGACAGGGGCTGGAGGAGGGTGGGGTGCGTGCCCCGGCGGCGGCGGAGGCCCCACGACTCGGAAACCCCGGGCAGCCCAGGGCGAGCGGCCGGTCCTCGGCCGGCCCCGCCGCCCCCTCCCGACGCACCACACCTAGCAACGGGCGCTGACAGGACGCAGTGGCAGCGGCGGCGGTGGGAGGAGGAAGCGGAATGGCTGCCGCGGTGGAGCCACCCCCGCCCCCTCCCGCCCCGTCCCGCTCCCACCTCCCAGCGGCTGCAGCCGCCGCCGCCGCCGAGCCCTGACAGCTCGAGCCGGGGCGGAAGCGGCAGGCGGCGTGCAGCGCCCGCCCGCCCTCCCTCCCGGGCCAACTAACTCCGCGCCTCAGCCCGGCGCCGCCGGCCGGCCGCATCCCCACCGCGCACGCCCCGCCGAGCACCCCGCCTCAGCCCGGCCCGCCGCACCTCGGGGTGCCCGCCCCCTCCCCCACCCCGCGTCTCCGCATCCGCCGCCCCCCATGTCCCCCCCACCTCCGGGGCGCGCGCGCGCGCACACACACACACACACACACACACACACACACACCCTCCCCGCCACCCTTGGTCATGCTGGGGCTTCTGCCCCCACCTACCCACCCACCCCCACCCCGGGCAGGAGTTTGCGCGCCCTGCACCCCCGCCCACCCCCGGGCCATTTACCGATGTGGTTGTCCTCGATGTGCTCGATGAGGTCGGCCAGGGTGGGGAAGTGGAGTCCGCAGCCCCCGAAGCGGCAGGTATTGGAGAAGAAGGAGGCGGCGGCGATGCCTGTCATGGTGCTACATCGAGAGCCCCCGTGGTGTCGGCTCTGTGAGCGCCGGGCGGGCGGGCGGGCGGGCAGGCAGGCGTGCGGGCGGAGAGAGGGAGGGAAGGAGGGAGGGAGGGAAGGAGGCCGGGTGGGGTGAGGAGAGGAGGGGCTGGGGGAAGGGGAGAGAGGCGGGCAGAGGGGAGCGGAGAGGACGGGACGGAGGGAGAGCGAGCGCCGAGGCACGGGCCAGGCGGAGGGGAGCGGCGGCGGCGTCGGGAGCGCCTGGGGGAGGGGTGCGGAGGCCGCCGCAGCTGGGCGGAGGGAGAGCCGGGCGCGCGGCCACAGCTGTGCGGGGCCCCGACCTCGGCGAGCGCGAGCGCGGCCTCACCTGGGAGCGCCCAACCCACAACTTGACCGCGCCCGGCCTGCCCTTGGCGGCGGCTCGTGCTACGTGCGCTGTGCCCAGAGCCTCCTGGCCCGTGGACACACCGCGCCTCCTGGTAGAGAGAGGCGCGGGGTTGTTCGTTACGCACAGTGGCCACTGAGGAGCGTCCGGGTCCCCCACCCCCACCCCGCTGGGGGGGAGGGGGCGGGACGCGTTGTCACACCTGGCCACCTGTCTGGGTAAGACCCTGAGTGACATTCACGGGGGACCCGGGGAGCATCTGGCTAAGGTAATTGTGTGCATCTTATTCTTGAAACCTTCCTTTAAAAAAAAAAAAAAAGTTCCTGTTCCCTAGAGGTGTGTAGGCACTAATTGATTTTAATGAACCTTCCCTCTAGGCCAGAAGAAGAAAATCTTAGCTTTATTTAAATTTCAAAATAGAGTGATTGGTTGTCAAGTGTATTTGACTGGGTTTGCCTGGGTCCCAGGGCTGTGTGCCCCTTGGGGGGTGGGAAGCACAAGCTGAAATAATTTCATTACCCCCAAATGACAGTATCCCAGTGCACCCACCACCGTGCCCCAAATCTGGCCATTCACCTGTTAGTGGGCTGCTGTAGGGACCAAGAGGACAGCGCATTGGTTGAGTCCAGGAGTGGAAGCCTCCTGTTTGCTTTTAGTAGAAATGACACCATAGGGCAAGCATACCAGTTGTGCTGTGGAGTCCTTAAGCCCCTAGGCTGATGTTGGAACTCCACCCCTCCCCTACACGCCATCATATTTTTACCCATACAGTGTGTATTCCCCAACAAGCACTTGGCCAGGTCTCCAGGTAACATCAGCAGCTCTTTATGACCCAACAGGTACATTTTGTTATGAATGCACGCATGCTGAGAACAAATTTCACCTTTGTATCCACACCTAGGAAAATAAGACTCTACCCCCTCCACCTGGTCCTGGGCCCTGTTATATGTGTCCTGTTGTTTCAAATGTAAGGTTTGTTAAATCTTTTCATATAAGACAAAGATTAACAATTCTATCCTTTCAGAAGGTTTCACCCGGGGGCAGTCATACTCGGCCATTTGGGGTTACTTCCAGTTCACAAGGTGAGGAACTGACTGAGCTAGGAGTAGCCTTGGGTGGGGCTGGGGAATCTCTGTTCAATGAAGTGCCAAGAATGGCTTCCCATCTCAGCTGAGGGTGAGGACAGGGCCTTGGTGGGCCTGATAATGAGCCAGAGAACCAATGGGCAGGAGCTGCAGGCCAAGGCCAGACAGGGGGCTGAAGACTGGGAGTTAGAATTCTCGATCTTGAATTAGAATGTTGGCAGCTGTGAGGTGTCCAGTCTAGGAAAGCCTTCAGCACAGAGTAGGCACACACCATACTTACTAACATGGAAATGCAGTGCAACAGAAGTCAGCCCCAAACAGTGCCAGAATAGCGCTCCCTACAGATGGGGGCTCAGCTGCCCTGCTAGGCATCATCTGGGAGCACCAAGAGCCTTGGAGAAGCAGCAGCCTTGTCCTTGGGAGGAAAAGCCGTCAGAATAGAATCATAAGCTCTAAAAAGAGCATGGCATGGAAAGTGCTGGAAATGGGCAGGTGGAAGGGGAAGAAAGCAGAGCCCCCCACTATCCTGTATCAGTTGTATTATTCCTAAAATAAAACTCTGTGAGCAAATATATTTTCTTTTAATGAAGTGAGTCAAAATGACTTGGAAAGTGGATCAAGAATTTTACTGTTAAGGTTTAAAGTTATTTTCTCTAATGTGGACAATGTTTTTGGCAAGGAAATGAGCTCATTTGCCTGAAATAATCTACCCCACTAACTTCTTTTGTTTATAATTTATAATGAAATCTTTGCTTATGTGACATTTTGCTCATAGGCCTTTTTCAAGATTTGTTGATTTATTTGCTCAAAAGAATGACAAGGGTAGGGGGAAAAAGAAAGACAGAGATAATTTCTGTTTGCTGCTTTACCGCTAAAATGTTAGCAACAGCCAGGGCTGGACCAGGCTGATGCCAGGCATCAGGGCTCCATCTGCGTCTCCCAGGTGGGTGCAGGGGCCCAAGCACTTGGACTATCATCTCCTGCCTTCCCAGGCACATTAGGGAGTGGATCAGATATGGAGCAGATGGGACTGGCCCTGGCACTCAGCAATGGATATCTTCATCTCAACCAGAGCTTAAGCAGTTGCACACAGTGCTAGCCTCGGCCCCTTTTCCTAACTGCGTATTCATAAGCATTCCTGGTCATCCTGTGAGGTATATGGCTTTATCAAACCCCATTTTGTCCATGAGGCCAGAGGCAATTTCTCACAGCCAATTTTCTCTCTGCATTCTTCTCTCTACATTCAGGAGGGAATGAATAGGCAATATAAGGACAATAATATGGACACCCTAGGCAGACTCATTACAGAATTGTCCCACAATGGCATGCATTCTTACCTTTGTGTTCCTACATTTGAAAGGTGTCCCTATAGGTAGTGTCAACATCCAAGCTATAAAAATACATACTGTCAATGCTTCACATGCAAGAGAAAGTGACGACTGATAAACTCTGGAGTTGCAAAGCAAAAAGCTCAGAGAGTAGCAGTAGTTTCAAAGGGGACAGTGAGGAAGCTGGAGGCCTTGGTAGTGGCCGTGGGCTTGAAGCATCCCCCTTAGACAGCTTCTCTCTGCATTGCTGTGGTGTCCTCCCCAGCCCCAGTGGATAAGCCCAGACAGAGTACCACAGTGTGAGACTCGGCATTCCAAGTTCCATGGGATGCAGCCACAGAATCCCAACAGCCGGAAGGCCCAGTGTCCCAGAAGCTGTGAACCCATTAGTCAATCTTATGGAGTCGACGGAAGCCAGCAGCGACGGATCTTGCATCAGGCGGCGACTGTCCGGTCTCCCTGTCCGCTCAGGATGTGGTTAACGTTGGGATACTCTGACCATCAATACTCCATACTTCCTATGGCCCAAGCTGGACATCTGTTAGTGCTTCAAGAGGACCTGGGTGCACAGTAGGTTCTCTTTTGCATCTAACTTTTACTGCGTTCAACTCTAGCTTTCTCCAGTTTTGTGGGTCACTTCCCTGGTCCCTCTAGTGAAGGCATTCAAGTTGGCTAGATATAAACAGACCCTCTAAGCAGCTTGCACCATTCCTCCTGCTACAGATCATGAACCCAGGGCCTCAGCCTGGGCTGCCACTTCCTCCAACAGCAGCTGTTGCATCCTTCAGGCTCCACCTTTGTCCAGATAGAACAATGTCCACTCGAGGTTTCTTTCTTTCTTTTTTTAATATTGTGTGACCACGTTTGTTGAGTTTATTCCAGCTCAGATAGGAAGTAGCTTTACATGTCCCTGGGGAATTCTCATTTTTGTCTCCCAGCCTCATTTTTACTAAGGCTAAAGGTTGGCCTTAGAATAAAGGAAGAGATTCCCTTGCTGGCAGTCACCTGTAACCTGGACAGCTAGGCATCATGCCTGGTTTTCTATCTGGCTTCTTCTATCCTGGCTACAGATGCGGGGGCTTCAAAAAGTTCATGGAAAAAAATGTACATTACCTTGGAAATCTTATTCTCCTCAAACTCTGGCATGCCCTCGTCCGTTATGTGGTGATGACATTCTGCAACCAACTCGATGAAGTACTCAGAGTTCCAGAACTAACTTAGTAAAATATGCAGCCAGCAAGTGCAATGGTAGTTGAGAATCCTGGGTCCACGTGCTTACTGTCACTTGTCCCATTGCCACCCTAGCTGAGAGCTCCAAACCTAAAACCCACGGAAACAAGTGCTTCATAGAGCAGCCCAATCTGGGACTTGAAATCAAGTTCCTCAGGGCTGCCATGACAACCAGCCTTCACTTCACAGGTCTTGATTGAAGAAGGCTCCTGTTGTGCAACTCCAGAAGGCTCCGTTTGTGTATGCAGCTGCATGGTTGGTGACCCCAGGGTTTATGCAGCCCTGCTGCCCTGCTGTCCTCACAGGAGGAAGGGAAGAACAGGTGTCTTGGGGGGGTCTCCCTGAATTGGTGCTAGGAATCTGCCAGGGTGGCTCACCCTGGTTGCTCTGTTGTCTCTACTCTCTCTGGCTCTGGCTCCTTCAGTTGATTTGGTTGATTAATTCCTGTTGATGCTGACTGTAATGCAGCTCCCAAAAGACACTCATCATTATATATATATATATATAAACAAATCCCAGAGTCTCACAGCCCACAGGAGGGTCAGGAGGCAGAATAGATGCTCATCCAGCAAGGCACCCTGCTGAAAATCTGAATCCCTTCCAAACTGGCTGGCCCCTTCCTTGTGCTCACTCTGAGGTCTCTCTGGCTCTCACTGTTACAGTCCATCTCTGGGACTCAGGGCTGGAGCTTCAGGTGGGGATCCTTGCAGCATGATCACAGCTCCCTCTGTTTGATCCCCAGGAATCTTTGCTATCAGAATAACCTCTCTGTGGGAGTGACACTTCTGATCACTTGTCTGCATAAGCCTCCCAATCCTGCCTCATATGTACCGAGAGTTCAAGGTCAAATTACTCCCTATTCTTGCACAGGACACCTTGTCTCTGCACACACTGTGTAACTGTGAAACATTGTCAGTTTTTCTTTCTCTTTCCCTCCCCCCAACTCACTTGTGCAACTTACCCTGTCACCTCCTCCATGAAGCCTTCCCTGTA